CTCTAGGTGGGTGGTAGTCTGCCTCGACCATGAATATATGTTATTCATATGAATATGTCCCCTATATACAGTGTTTGTTAACAGATGAAAAATATATTAAGTTACAACTTCATAAACTGTATTAAATATCAGATGATACCAGAGAATTCTGTGCATTTTTGACATGAATTAGTAATTGGTTTGAAGTCAACATTTATTCTCACTCTCACTCTCACACACACACACAGACACACAGAGTCCTGTCATACCCTCTGCAGAGCCACCCGACTCCAGCTGGGGGCCTTGGTGACTCCCAGGTGGCAGCGCACTGCCTCACTGGCTTTTGCTAAAAGATGCTCCTCTGTTACTGCTTCTGGGTCCCCAAACACTTCTTGGAACCAGGCTCCACCCATCATCACCTACAAGACATGGTCATGACTTTAGGTCAGAGGAGTAGACTCACTTTAATGGACCAGAGCCTTAGGACTGGAAAGGGTCTTCACTGTAAGAGTTGCATACCTGCTGTCGCTGTATATCGTTACAAGCCAAGTGCTGATAGTTTTAACGATATACAGTTGCAGTGCTATGAGAGACAGTATTTGACATGACATTTGTTTTTAGTGTAACAACAAACCATATGATGATATGTTGTATTAGCATATCAGAGACCTTGTCCAAATGAACTGGTCAACATGTACTGAGTTGTGCTAATACTTAGTAATACTCACATCACATGACAATTCTTTACAATAACAGCTGCTTTATGGCAAAGTGGAGTAAAAATATATATTTTATTTAGGAAATGCAGTGAATGAAGTAATGAAGTTAAACTCAAGTTAAGCATAGATACTCCTTACTACTATACTATTACTTATACTTATTACTTGTAACTTCATTATGAGGTTGACTCACATTTCACTAGAACAGATGCACATCCAAAAACGCATTGTTTTCCAAAAAAATTTATATTTGTTATTATTGGCATTACGACGTATTGAAACAATTTAAATTTAAATGTATGCATTTATGAGAGAGAGTGTGTGTTTGTACCGTCAATCTAGTAGTCTGTCCATTGGCTCTGTTGTGTTGAGGGAAGGGTACAGAGTCATAGACCACCCCTAATATACCCAGATCCTCTGATGATGGAAGCAGGTGACCAAAACCCTGACAACACACAGATTGTTGCATATTAGAACCAGCATGAACTGTTTCAGCGGTTTGAGCTGCAGTAGCTCGTCTGTTGGATCAGACCACACAGGCCAGCCTTCACTCCCCACAGGCATCAATGAGACTTCATGACCCTGTCTCCGGCTCACTACTTTCTTGGGGAGCTTTTGTAGGTACTGACGCACTGCAAGACTGGGAAACAGCCCACAAGACTGCAGGTTTGGAGTTTGCTTCTGACCCATTTGTCTAGCCACATCAGCAAATTGTGGGCCCTTGTTCCAAGTCGCTCCCAACATTCTCACGCTGCCATTTTTCTTCTTCTCACACTAACACATCAACTTTGAGGACAAAATGTTCACTTGCTGCCTAATATATCCCACCCACTGACAGGAGCCATGATAACCAGATAATCAGTGTTATTCACTTCACCTGTCAGTGGCTGATCGGTGTATACTGCACATAGTAGTTTATGTCTTTTTTGTTGAGCTTGTTTATTTATGCTCATTCTGTGTATATACATTGAGAGCAATGTAAAACCAGAGTCAGTTCCTTGTATGTGTGCACATACCTGGCTAATAAAAGTGATTCTGTTTCTGATAAGTTTCACAGCTGCCATATTTCTACACCCTTGGAGGGCTGAGTTGTATTCAAATGGTTGCAATCTGTAACTTCACTGCTAGATGCCACTGAATCCTACGCACTGGTCCTTTAAAACATTAAGTGTGTGAGTCCTACTGTAGTTCTCACCGTTACAGGCAGGATGGAACCCTCATACTCCAGATTTACAACAGCAACTGTTACCGTGGAGATGTGCTGCAGCTGTTGGATGAGAGGTTCACAGGAGGAGGGCAGGGCTGAGGAGAGGGCTGGGGTTCAGGTAGGGGGTGCACAGAGAAACAAGACTGCATAAAAACAAAAACTTTTGTTTTTCTTATTGATTATTTTAGAATGAGTTCTAACAGCAAGTGTGATACATTTAGAATTAACATTTTAAGTTAAAATACAGAGATAACCTTTTAAATTGGGTCATTTCCAGTTATATTAAATACGTTATGCATATTGAAGGACATTAGCAGAGCTAAGGGGGTATTCTTCTCTGTCCCTGCCATGTAAAACAAAACATTCCCATCATATTCCATATACCACTTGCCTTTAGCAGGTAGTGCAGAGATGATGTGGTCAGCTGATAGAACTCCATCCTCCAAATGGATCTACACACACACACACAGACATGTGTATTATGAAAGCAGCCAAATAACACAAGAATGAAAATCAAATAGCCAAGCATGTTTTTGTTTTCCAGCCTGGTAGATCTACTCAGACATGCTGACGTTGAGCAGGTATATCACACTAGCTTTTGTCCAACTGAACACCATCAAGAAGGCAGGTCTTAGATAATTATAAAATAACAGAGGCTAGATGAGGGTTCCCACTCTTTTTAAGAAACCATTTTCTAGGACCTTTACTAGGAGTTTTGCTTGCTCACAAACCGAGGAAAAGTCAAGGGAATACAGAATAAAGATTCATTGTCTGGGGACCACAAATGTTTCAATGTTTTCAAATCATCCCATAGCTCTCAAGACATTCATTAAAGAACTAAAATGTCACTAGAAGAAAAGTGAATCAAAGATGGTGTACATCATCCTCTGGAAAGCATGAACCTTTTACAAAGTTTAAATTAGGGTTCCCACCCAATTCAGATATCATTTTTCCGGACATTTTCCGGAATTGATGATGTAGGTATGGCCATCTAAAGCACTTTCACTGGGCTTCCCTGAGAATTCTGTTCACAGGATTTCTGTTTTGTATCTGGTAATACTTAGGTGATACTTACTAGGCTAGAGTGAGGGGTTAAAATACAACTGACATTTCCAGGACAACATAGTTTATTTCCAGGATTTTTGGTCATTTTAATCGATTTCCAGGTGTTTCCATTACTGAAAAACTAGTCTCTTCACTCAACAACCCTGTTCAGTCCACTTAACAGTTGTTCAATGGTAGACTGACCAACACCACCATCCTAGACCCACAGTGCTAGCACACCTTAAATGGAGTCCATACATTTTAGAACTACAGTTGAGATATTAAAATGCATAATTTCCATTATAACATTATTTCCATTACAAGTTCTGCAGAAAGAGGGAATAACACACTATGCTAAATTAGTTCAATCTTAACATCACATTTGTATAGTCAAGTTCAGGTAAATTTAGTTTATAGTCTCCACACTAACCTTCCAACCAGAGGCTGAAGGACTGATCTCTTTAACAGCTGCCTCCCTGTGAAGCTGCACTCTTCCACTGTGTTGTAGGTACTCAGTGATGGCTTCTGGGAGGGATTCCACTCCCCTGTTCAGGGACCACTGGGCCCATGACTCTTTAAAAGATCTCTGTGCCAGAGGGCCAGGAGGGACCACAGGAGTGGGACCTGCAGGTTTTCACAACAACACAACAACTTTAGTCCTGTCAGAGCACACAGATTACAGACAATATGGAATAACCATTATTCTTCACTATTTGGTTCTGATTACAGGTCCTACAAGGTGACTATTTTATACTAAAATGGTGACACCAACATTCCTAATCACACCTACAAAGCTATGATTGGTCTACAACTGGGGAAACATTTGTTAGTGAGCACAACACCAGAACTATTGGCATCACTGAAAAATCAGAGCTGCTAGTGATTCAGAGGTCTGGTGCCAAGCTAATGAATTACTGCATATCCTAGCAAAGTGCATTCATGCCCTGCACCTGTAAGTGACTTACCAACTATCAGCAGGATGAAGCCAGTGTTAAGATGTAACAACATGAGGAATGTGCTCAGTTCTGCTTGTTGTTGGGCAGAGTTGTCTAATGGTCTTTTTGTAAGGACAGACAATAGAGTGTTGCAGTAATCCTGTCACTACAGTACTCACAATGTCGGAATGTTCAAAAAAGGTTCTCCTTTTTGATTCAATGACCTCCACCTGCTCGGGAACCCCACCACAAATATTTTTACTAAATGATGTCTATTTACATGTAAGGAGAGAGTCTTGTTTGTCAAGATTAACTCAACACGTGTTATGGGTCATTCTACAAAGCTGTGTAATTTGTGAGTCTAAAACAAAAAGGTTTGCTGGAGTGTACCTGAACCCAGCAGCATGCCCAGTGTCAGGGAACCTCTGTGCTGTTCTGCATTGTAGAGGACAGGAAAACAAGAACGTACACTCAACTTCCTGCAGTCCCCTGCAAACACACCACGACACAAACTGTCCACAGCTATGTCCGCCAGCTAGACACACACAGAGGAAGAATTTTTTTAATCGCAAGAATTGTAGTATCTTTCATTTTTCATATAGTATGGTGTAAGAAATTGTAAAAAACAAAACAAAAAACATTGTTTTGTGAATTCTCAAAAATAATATCGAATTTTGTTATTGAACCCCTATCACTACTCAAAACCGAGCTGTTCAGAACTGCTTTTAATGTGTAATTTGTTGTGTGTTGTAGATATTATATAAACACAAAGAGAATGAATGAACAAACGAATAAATGAATGAATGAATTCAATAGATGCTACCCAAATCTCTGCTTTCACTTCCTACATGACATTTCTCCCAGGCAGAAATTGTGTAACTGCTACATCCAGTATATAGGATATCTATATTGCAATACTGCCATTCAGGTAATGCTGTGGTTCATATTTGGATATCCCAATCACAATAAAGAAAGTTCTGAGAGCTTCCTCACACCTCCTTTCCCAGCCTCCTAGTAACAAATGAATGGATGGACTCGTCGTCCTCCTTGCCTTTCTTCACCAGTATCTCCATGGCAACACTCAACAGGAGGGGACGAGAGAAGGGTGGGACAGTCCGCAAAAGTCCACTGAAAAAAAGACAAAGAAACAGACAGAAAGAGACAAACAAAATTATCATAATGTGGGAATTCCTGTAGTTATAGCTGAACTGAAACTAAATACACCTCATACTCACATTTTACAAAAAATATTCCTTCACAAATAAAATATACTCAGTGGTCTGCAGGCCGACACACACGACACAACCGGAGCAGACCTTTGTGATAATAGTGTATGCGGCTGACAAAAGAATAAAGTTGTCTTGTTCATTAATCCCTGTTGTTGGGCTGTGTGCTGAGAGAACCCTCCATTAACTCAATTAAATTAAATCATTGTTATGCAGATGATACACAGTTATATCTATTAATTAAGCCTGATGAACCTGAACATGCTGCAATTTTAATGTTTATGTTAAACTCAGACAGAACTGAAGTTCTTGTACTTGTCCAGCACTGCCGTAGGGGATCTTGGAGTGATCTTTGATCAGGATATGTCCTTTAACTTCCACATAAAGCAGACCTTTAGGACTGCCTTTTTTCACTTGCGTAATATTACAAAAATCAGACATATCCTGTCACAGACAGATGCAGAA